CTTACAAATGTGATTAAATTATGAAGCTTTTTTTACTTAAGCCCTTAGTTCCAAGTTCTTTTTATGAATTTCCTTTTACCAGCCCAAAAAAATATGTAATGGATTTCCTTATTTATGTCTGTGCTTCTGGGTCAAATCTCTAGCTCGCTACTCACACAATTGTCTCTGTACTTTCAAAATTATTACAGCATGGAACATCATATATTTTAATCATATGCTTTTTGCTTGCCAAAGATGCACAAGGAGAAAAGTTCTGAAGGATTTTAAATTTTGTTTCCAACAACACATACTTAGTCTCTTTTGTAATCATCTACATGGCCTCTTCCCATCTTCTCCAGCTTCGCATCTTCACTGCTACTGCAACAAATATCCAGTCCTTGGCCTCATCCACATATCGAAAATATGCACGTCTCCAGCTCTTGTTGAGCATTAGAGGCCCGAGAACTCCCCAAAACCCCATTGCAAATCCAAGCATTACGACAAGGCAAAACCATAATTTTTCATACCTATCTTCTTCAGAATCATGGTCTACATCGCTGGTGCTTGTAGGAATCTGATGCAGCTCATCATCACCTGAGCAGTTCTTTGGTAGTGGAGCTCCGCAGAGTAGTGAGTTGCCAGTAAAACTAGTTGAATCAAAAGGCTGTACCTCATAAACTTTTGGAAGTGGGCCAGATAAGTTGTTGTATGATAAGTTGAGGTGGCTTAATGTTGCCATTGCCAAGGACCACATGCTCATTGGAATTGTGCCGGAAAGTTGATTGTTTGATATATCGAAAGATTCTAATGACTTCAGTTCGCCTATCTTTTGAGGGATGCTTCCTTCCAAATGATTATGTGACAAATTCAGGCGAAGCAATCCAGAAAGGGATGTCAATTCTTCAGGTATGAATCCAACCAAATTATTACTTGAGAGGTCCATACTAACTCCTAGAGATGAAATCCTTACAGATTCGTATTCCCTTCCCTTTAAAGCCCGCCAGATATTCTTGTTGTTTGGTTCTGCATCACTATCATACCCCTGCTGATCTGATTCTGGTTGGTTGGTTGAGTACTGCGCCAACTGCATTCCATTGAGATAGTCAAAGCAGTGAGGGATGATTCCTGTTAGATCATTATGTGCAAGGTCCAAGACCTGCAGTTGGGAAAGTTGGCACAGTTGTGAAGGAATACTGCCATTGAACGTATTCCTCTGTAAGCGGAGAATTATCAAGAACTCAAAGCTATCTCTGATCCACGCAGGTATATGCCCTGACAATCTATTCTTGCCAAGATCCAAATGTTTCAGATAAGGGCAATTTCTCAAGGCTGAAGGGAGTTCTCCATGAAGACTATTGTTGTTCAAGTTCAACCATACTAGATGCCGAAGATAACCAACTGAGCTGGGAATAACCCCTGACAGGTTGTTTGATGAGAGGTCCACAGCATACAAGTTTTGGAGATTCTTCAAACATCCAGGAATTTCACCAGATAACCTGTTCTTTGAGAGGTCGAGAGCACCCAAAGTCTCTATGTTGCACAATGAGGTTGGTACTGAACCTTTTATATGGTTACTGCCAAGAAATAAACTATCCAATCTAGGCATCATATCAGAAATTTTTTGTGGAAGGGATCCAGTTATCTTATTGTATGATAGATCCAAGTAGGTTAGATGCAAGCCATGAAGTGATTTTGGTATCGTTCCTGAGATACTAGCATTGGACAAATCTAATTTGATGGTCTTCTGTGCTAGAAGCCATTGAGGAAATTGTGTCCCGAACTTGCAAGATTCCATCCTTACATATTTGAGCTGGAAAGGAGCCTCCCAGTTGGACTTTACCTTGATTGTCAAATGGTTGAGGGCAAAGTTCAATATTTCCAACTTTGAGAGGTTGGCAAAGTGGACTTCAGAAACTATGCCATCTATATTATTTGAAGAAAGATCTAAGACTGTAAGGTTTGAAAGTTGCCCTAGACTCTCAGGAACTGTCCCATTCAATTGATTGTGTGAAAGATACAATTCTCTCAAGGTTGACAAATTCCCAAGCGAAAATGGAATAGGGCCACTGAATGAATTCTTCTGAAAGTCAAGGTATTTCAAATTTCTTAGCTTCCCCAGCCAATCTGGCAAACGGCCACTAGCTCCACTGTTGACTAACCTCAGTGTGTCTAAATCATATTCAGTGCAGCCGGATAAAGTTCCACTAGTTCCTAATATCTCTCCTTGAAATGGGTTCGGCGACAAGTCTAATGATTTTAGATGGCATGAATTTCTTAATATTGACAATAGCCCACCTTCAATACTATTGAAGACATTGTGAGAAAGATTGAGATGGACAAGGTTCTCAAGATTTCCCAACCAGGCGGGAATTGATGATTGCAAAATGTTGAATGAAAGATCAAGTCTTCTAAGGGAAGTCATGTTTCGAAGAGCATCAGGAATTGGACCAAGAAGTCCATTGTTGGCAAGATCTAAGGATTGAAGGTTGCGGAGAAAACTGGCATTGGTGCCACCCCCTGGAAATTGAGTTTCACTAAGTCCACAATTCGACAATCGTAAACAAAGCAAAGAAGGAAGCATGCTGAGTACCTGCATTAAGTTTAGTGTCTCCTCAAAGTACAAGTCACTCATATCAAGGTGATGCAAAGACGACAAACGAGAAAGCCATCGAAGATCATCTACAATCAACAATGGTTGGTTACTGAGATCGAGAATCTGCAAGCTAGTAAGGTTTCCAAGATGTTGGGGAACCGTCCCAGAAAATTGTGCAGAAGATAGATTAAGATATGTCAGCTGCTTCATGGAACCAAAAAACTTGGGGATTGGTCCATCGCCTAAATTGTTTCCACTCAAATCCAAATATTTCAAATATTTCAACTCCAGCAAACAAGATAAGCTAACCTCAGTGGCCTGAAAGTGAACCTGTGTTCGGAGGCGTTTAGCTCGAAGATCAAGCTTGACAACATGTCCTGCACTTTGATCATCACAACTCACTCCTTTCCATTTGCAGCAGTCTTTGCCTTTCCAAGAGGAGAACCCGTCTGATGTATCTTGAAAACTTTGCTGGAACTTTATAAGAGCTTCTCTGTCTCTTTCTACGCAGCTGGCTGTTGAATTAATGCAGAAACAGAATGGTATGGCAGCCAACAATAAAACAAGTAGAACAAAGCCATGATCAGAAAATTTTCTCATATCCTTCAACTTACAAGTCCACTATAATGCCAGCTAGCAATGTTGTTTGCAAAGGCTTATGTGGTAAATGCCCAGGGAATGAATTGCTTGCTTCAAATTGTGCTATTGCCAAGTTCCTTAGAATTCTTAAAAAGACCAGAAAAACGTGTATATGCCACCAGTCTTGATTGTGTGTAAGAACTTTTACAGGTTCACACTGCATGTCAAAGGCATCCACTTAGTATCAAAAGCTGATATTTTTTGGTCAAAAAGTAAAACGCTGATCTAGGAAGGAAAAAAAAAGGAAGTTGCAAAGCCATTTTATCTTCTAATGTTTGGTACAGTGCACATATTTCAAATTCAAGTTGCCACTCAACCACAAAAGTCATTTCCAGTTTCACTCCATAACCACTACACTTCTTAATACAATGTTGATTTTCTCGATTTTAATCATTTGGTTTAATGACATTCAAGTTCAGTTTTATTAGAGTAGATTGTGTTCAAATTTTTATAGATGACAATGATCAAATTAAACAAACATAATCTTTATAGAATAAAAAAACATAACTATATTTTAGAAACACTTTAGTCCATCAAAAGTAGGCTTTTCCTGCAAGGGGCTTGTATCGAAGTTCTGGATTTGATTCATCTCTCTCTTAATATCGCTTGTATTTATAAATTTATAAAAAATAAAAAATTTAAAAATAAAAAAAGGCTTTTCTTTGGTTTTTTGCTTTCTAGTTTTTTAAGGAAATTTTTGAGTGGTTTAGGACCCATTTGATAACCATTTCAATTTTAATTTTTAGTTTTAGTTTTAGTTTTAGAGTTTTTTTTTTTTTTTTTTTTTTGGGCTAGCTAGAAGTATAGAGGAAAAGGGGGAGAATGGAAGTGAGAATGAGAGAGAAGATGAGATTAAAAAGAAAGATGAGAGGGGAGGATGGGAAGGAGGAGTAACAAAGGTGAAAACAAAAATTAAAAACTGAAACTGTTTGAAATTGTTTTCACTTTTGTTACTCCTTCCTTCCTCCCTTCTCATCCTAAACCCCATTCTAACTCTCATTTTCCTCTATACTCTAGCACAAAAAATAAAGAGTTTTTCTATTTAAACCCCACACTTTCTTTGTTCACCCCAATACTTAAATCATTAAACTCTTAAATTTTATTATTGTGTGAAAAGACAAAAAAAGGTCATCCAACTTAATACTTAACCCTAATACATCTATACACACACCCCCACCACTCTTCATATTAAGTTTTAGAAAAACACAAACTCATCTACACCCTATTGCCAGATTACTCTTCTCTTTCAATACAAGAAACCTACTATTATTTTCTCTTCACAAAACCTCCTAGTTCATTCTCAATGTTGCTACACCTTTGACAACAATGTTTTTATCTCTTTAAGTAATGTGAGGTTGAGGTGAACTTAGAGTGGTGAGGGGGTAAGATAATGGGGTGTGGGGTGTGAGGTTGATGAGTTTTTTTTTTTTTTTTTCTTTTTTCTGCTGGGTGTGTATTTAGAGGTAGTTTGGGAAGATGGTGAGGTTTTCTTAGAAAATTGTGAAATTTTGAATTAGAAGTTGGGATGAACTTAAAATGTGGGGTGAAAAAAGATAAGTGCGAGGTTTAAATAGAAAAACTCAAAATAAATACTAAAAATTAAAAATTGAAATGGTTATCAAACGGCCCTTAGAGAGTAATTATTAGGTTGGTTCATTCTTGTTGGGCCCTTGTGGATCCTTCTCCTTCGGGTTCGGCCCTTTCTTTGCTGGCGTAGCCAAAACCATAGGCCTCACCACACCTGATCACTACATGTGAAAAAAAAAAAATTGTACAGATAATTCTTTTTTTCCCTGTTCGGCAATTTGTCGGTATGTAGTTAGGGTTTAGACTGAAGAAATAAGGTGGGGTTTAGCATCGAGAGAAAGAAAGAAAGAAAAAAGAAGAAAGCTTTGCCTGTAGCAGTTTCAATGGGGAAGAAGAGGCAGAGAGAGAGGCATCAGAATCCAGAGCCATTTCTCGCAGAAGAGAATGGCTCTGTGGCCTCGAAGAAGCAAACGAAGTCCAAGCAGCACCAGATGGAAGAGAAGCTGATATCTTCGGGCATGAGCTCGAAGATCCTCAAGGAGGCTCTGGCTCAGCAGAGGGAGGTCGAGGACGAGGCGAACCGTGCCCAAAACCCTAACAATTCCTTATTAAACGTCACTGAAGACCCGCGCAAGGATGAAGCAGCTGAGGAAGAGGAAGACATCGATGACTTCGGTGGATTCTCTGAAACGCAGAGCCGTTTTGGCGGCTATGAAGTGAGTGTCGCTTGCTAAAATGTTATTTGTGACTTTCTAACGTATTTATTTGTTTATTGGCTCCTTTAGGATGGTGAGAATCTGTGGGGAAACATAGGAAATGTAAATGAATGCTGAATTGTGTTATTTTGTTACTTTTTAAATTGTTATTTTTCACTTGGCTGAAAAGCATTGATTTGTAGATGAGACCAAATTAAATAGTCTTGTTTCTTTTGAATCTCAGGAGAATGATGAACATGATGAGAAATTATTAAACGAGATTGATGAAGATGATGAGAATCTATTAGAGGCATTCTTGTCAAAGTCTGCGGGTCCACAACGTACTCTTGCAGACCTCATTGTCGCAAGAATTAAAGAGAAGGATTCAGATGTCAGCTCAGGTTGAAATGGAATATGATTTCATTGTTCTTGCTTGTTTCTTGAATCTCAAATCTAACAAAATTGCGTCATTAGTTTAAGCTGAAGATCTTTTCATTAATATATTTTCATTGGTTAATTGGATATGTTTGATTGCAGATGCTAGGCCTTTGCCTAAATTGGATACCTCCCTCATAGAATTGTATAAGGGGTAAGTTACCTATCCTTTCTTTCGTTAGAACGTAATATTTAAACGCATATATGTGCTTTGACTAATGCTAAACTTCTTAAATTTTCACTGTTTATGCAGAGTTGGCAAGTTTCTTAGTAAGTACACTGCTGGCAAGGTTCCCAAACCATTCAAACACATCCCTTCAGTGCCTCGATGGGAGGATGTCCTATATTTGACTGAGCCTGAGAATTGGTCACCAAATGCAATGTACCAAGCTACGAGAATTTTTGCTTCCAATTTGGGTAAGCAGAAGGTAGAACGTTTCTACAAGCTTGTGTTGCTCCCACGAGTGAGAGAAGACATTCGGAAGCATAAGCGCTTGCATTTTGCCCTATATCAGTCTTTGAAAAAGTCTTTGTACAAGCCTGCTGCCTTTTTCTTAGGAATACTTCTTCCGTTGTGTGAGGTATACAATTCTCAAAACATGCCATGCTTGACCACCTAATTGCAGTGTTTTGAAGTTTAAGTGTGTTGCTTGTTTATTTTGGCAGCTCATTCATTTATTTCCTTCTCTGTTATACTGAAGTTAAGCTCTTGAGTTTGTCTGTTGGTATGATTCCAGTTTGAGGTGCAAAACAAAAGCATTAATTCATGTTATTGGACCATCACAAAATCATTATTATGGAGTTCTCTTGATTTCTGTTTTTTATTTTTTATTTCATACAATAAATCAAGTTCTGGCATTGTGGTTTGCATTGTAGCACATGATTTGAAATATTTTTCCAATCTACTTATGAAATATATATTGTTCATCATGTATGCTTCGTGCAGGGAGTCATGATTTTCTGTTTTTAACCTTCTTTGCTAGTCTATTCGTATTACTCCAAACCAAGTTTTTGAAGTGTGATTTTCACCTCAATTTTATTCTTTGAATGGGATGCTTAGATCTGAAAATGTTTTTCTGCTTTGGAATGGATGTTTTGATAATTCTAATGCACTCACCTTTGGCCCCATTTCCCCCTTTTCTTGAACAGTCAGGGACATGTAATCTAAGAGAAGCTGTTATTTTTGGGAGCATTATAGAAAAGGTCTCCATTCCTCCACTTCATTCAAGGTACGGTAGCTGCCCTATGAAGATTGGTTTTGGTCCATGAATTTTAAATGAATTTTGGGCTTTTGGCATAACAGAAGGCTTCCAAACATACCCTTTAAAATGAAGATGTGCTTGATAGAAATTTAATCCTAACAAGTAATAAAATCATCTAAGTTATATGAACGAAGGACAAACAATTTGAATTTTTTTTACTAGCAGCCCATGTGACAAGTGTTGCGGATAATTAGGTCGTCAAAGTTCAATTACTTTAAATTCCATATTAAGTTCGTATAAGACACAAAGTTCTTGTAAACTAGTAACTGGCTGTACTTTTTGTTTTGTTAAATTTCTTCTGTTTTCTCTCAACAGAAGATAAAAATTAATTGTACTAACTATGAAAATAGTATTCTTAATTTTGAATTTCATTTTTCCGGGTGCTTATAATTGTTGTGTGACAACTAATGAAGCCACTGTTAAGATCACATTGTGTAAGATTTTTTTATTTTATTTTTAAAAAGTTGATGTTGAAATCTATTATTTGGAACTTTTTATATCTTGAATTTACTTTCTGCTTGTTGTAATTTGAGTCTCCCTAAGATAACCACTGTGGTTAGTTTTTACCAATTGGCCTGAGTCAATCCATTATGGTTAATTTTCTCGACAGAATTTTCGTTTTAAAATTTATTTATCATTAAATGCTTTACTTTGTTTGTGTAGATAAGCATGCCATGAACACCTAGATTGAGCAAGGCTATCAGTAGTCAATTCCATCTTAAATCTTTTTGAATCAGTCAAATAATTTGTGAATCCAATTAAATATTGATCATGCACAAATCTCCTGATTATATCTTATTTCTTTAGCTAGGAATCTATGCTTCTATAAGATTTCCATCTTTTTTTTTGTCTTTGTCTTGTGGAAGTTGATTCTCTCATGTTTTGTTTTTGTTGGATTATAATATTTACTCATTTTTCTTGTAATCCATCTGGGATCTCTGACACTTGATTTTGATGTATTTGCAGTGTTGCATTAATGAAGCTTGCAGAGATGAAATACTGTGGCACAACGAGGTATTCAAACATTTAACAATTAGTATTTTCAACATGGTTTGAAAGACATAAAGAGACATCTTCTCTTAAATGAGTATGTGGTCGCAAGATAGGTGTACTTGTGCCTATAAAAGTTTGAAAGAAAGGATTTAAGATTTTTTTTTTTTAAAATTGTAAAATATGCGAGCCAAAAAATTAATGCATCTGGTGAAAGGGATGGTAAGGGAGGCCTAAGGTCCTGATTCAGTAGAAAGATATAGATCTGATTCAATAACCCTCCCCTGTATAATGCATAAGGTTAATCAGTGTCCTTACGTGACATTTGTTGAATATAATGAAGTTAAATATTTGATGATTGGTCAGTTTAGAAGTATTCTTCTTGTTAGTATAAAGGGAGAAGATCCCCCCTATGCAACACTGTTTTGACGATGTTGGTTTTATGACTTGTTGCAGTTACTTTATAAAGCTTCTTTTGGATAAAAAATATGCCTTACCATATCGTGTACTTGATGCTCTTGTTGCACATTTTATGAGATTCTTGGAGGAAACAAGGCTAATGCCTGTTATATGGCACCAGTCACTTCTTACATTTGTGCAAAGGTGAGCAAAGTTTTTAAAAGTTTCTTCCTTGCCTAAATGAGGGATGTCTGAGGGGTTCTTGATTTTTTTTTTTTTTTTTTTTGGTCTTTTTCATCATATACAGTTTTCTGTGCATCATTCTTGTAGGTACAAAAACGAATTACAAAAGGAGGATAAAGATAATCTTAGAATTCTTCTTGAAAAGCAAAAGCACTATTTGGTAGGAGCATTTTCTCTGGAAAGAGTTTAATTTATATAACTTTGTGGCAATATGTTATCTCTATTCCGTGGTTCAATTGTAGGTAACCCCTGAAATAAGAAGGGAACTAGATCATAGTCGCAATCGTGGAGAGAAAGAGGATGATCTTATGTCAATCGATATCCTTTTCTTTTTTGCTTTGTGTTTTCATTTGCTTCACAGTAGTCAACTTTTTTCGTAGTGTTTCTAAAACCCAACTTTTTTGGACAATGAGCTGGAAATGGCATGTGATCACGCAAATGCCATATTAGCATTGAATTCTAAGAGTACATTAAAACGAAGAAAATATTGTGTGCTCCCCTTGACTTTACATACCATATCCAGTTGGTGTGATCAATAAACCTTTTGAAGAGGATTTGTCTGACATTCCAGAGGTGCCTATGGAGGACGACTAGTTTATCGCTCGGTATGATGCCTGTATATGCTGCACTTTTAATTTTTTATGTTTTCTCTATTGTAAAGTGGTGGATCCGAAATCCATTAATCTGTTGCAGGCTGAGATGGCCGAAGGAATCTCCTATTAGGAGCAAATGCAATGGTTTGACATCAGAATTGAAGCATTTTTGGGAGCAGGGTTTACCTACTAGATAGTTATACAAGCTTTTTTTTTTTTTTTTGGTTTCAAACAGCTTCTAGTAATTATATAAATCCGGATATTCATGAGTTTGATTTATTGTTTGAAATATTTTGGTTGAAAATTGAAGTTCATACCAGAAGGAACAAAAGATTTACATTGTCATATCTGCTCCCCTGTTCGAGGCCACATTATTTATATCCCATGCAATTTTATTAATACTAGTCCAGAAAAACAAATTATGCTTATTTATTTTTCATTATCTCTATGGGTAAACTTTATTTTATGTTCCCTGTTTTTATGTTACTTGGGGTTTGATGTCTTTGACTTACCCTCCTTACCACATTGTAGGCCTTTTGACTGAGAACCTTTGTGTTCGGCTCTGCCCAGGTTTTATACTGCTAGGGTTAAATTGAACGTGTATTTTGGTTCGAACTGAACCAAAGTACAATTAATTTGGTTCGATTCATTTCGGTCTAATTAAAATGGCCTAAATTGATCATTGCTATTATTATGTTGAATTGATATTAATTATTGAATATCAAAACTTTAAATTCTCTAATCATTTGAATTTGTGATCACTTCTCTCTCAAGATTTTAGGGACGGAGCTGTATTAAGGTTAGGGGTGGCCTTGGCCCCCTCACCACAAATCAATACTTGTCAAAATTATATTTCATTATGAATATGGTAGTAAATCTTTATGAAAGAAAATCACTCATTTCAATTTAGTACTCTTGTAGGTAATAATTTATTCAATAGGCCAATAAAAGCATATAACCAAACTTTGTGTTTGACGTTTTGGCCCCCTAAATATAAAATCCTAGCTCTGTCCAGTAAAGAAGTTTTATCAACTATTCATGACAACGATGAAACATTCAAAAACCCCTCCTTTTTTTAATTTCTAAATCCAAACCTAAAATACTATTTAATTAACAAAAATATTAAGAGATTTTCTATTTAAACCCTGCACTTCTCTTTGTTCAACCCAATACTGAAATCATTAAGCTGTAAGTTTTATTATTGTGTAAAAAGACAAAAAAGGTCATCCAACTTAATAATTAACCCTAGTATATCTATACACACACCCTACACCCCACCACTCTTCATATCAAGTTTTAGAAAAATACAAATTCCTCTACATCCTATTGCCTAATTACTCTTCTCTTTTAAAGACATAGAAAATTAACGAGCCTACCTCTGTAAATATGTGTGGGAGTTGATGGAAAGGCTTGTTGATTATCAACTCAACAATACCCAAGTGTTGGAATTCCAGTTACAGTTCTTGGAGATAGGTAAAGTTGTTCTCTTTCTCTAGAAAGTATTACATTTCGGGTTTAGGGTTCTATTTGTTTGTGTTTTTTTTGCTGGGAACAAAGAAAATTGTGGGGTTTAAATAAAAAATCTCTTTTATTTCTTATTTTTTCAGTTTGAGGTGTATTTAAGGGTAGTTTGGGAAGATAGTGGGGTTTTCTTAGAAATTGTGAAAATTTAAATTAAAAGATGGGATGAACTTAGAACATGGGGTGAACTAAGAGAAGTGTGGGGTTTAAATAGAAAATCTCAATATTAAAACACCACTCTATTGTCTTTTATTTTATTTTTTTTTAAATTTCATATATACCTATATCTATATATTTACCTAATTAAAGGCAAATAGTCAATAAAATAAAAATCGATCCTTAAATAAATTGGTTTACTTTAGTTATACTAGTTTGATTGCCTTTCGAACAAAAAAATTAAAAAACTAGTTTGATTGCCTAAATCGAATATTTCAACCAATAATTGGGAGACCATTTTGGTCAATAACCCAACAGTGTTACATTGAAGCCGGACCGACCGACTCAGCCGGTCTAGTTGGAAAAACCAAAAAACTCGGCGCTCTCTGGCTTAACATATAAGTCCCTACGATTCTCCAAAATACCTAAAAAGCTCGCGCGTTCAACAGGTATCATCTTCCACACCGAGTCCTCCTATTTTCACAAGAATTCTTCTTTGTTTGGGGTTTTGCGAATCCTATATATAGACATCTATTTTTCACAACATAAAACTTCCACACTAACTGAATCTTTCGGATATTTCGTTTAGAAAGAGAAGCAAATTGAATTGAATCAGAGAGCTTAAGGGTTTTTGAAGAGAAGCGAAGATGGGAGAGCGTAAGGTTCTGAACAAGTACTATCCACCGGACTTCGACCCATCGAAGCTGCCCAGAATAAGGAGGCCCAAGAATCAACAGATAAAGGTGCGGATGATGCTTCCCATGAGCATTCGCTGCAATACTTGTGGCAATTACATCTACAAAGGCACCAAATTCAATTCTCGCAAAGAAGATGTCGTCGGAGAGGTACTTCGTTGATCAGTAGGGTTTCTAATTGCATAGCCTAGCTCGCCTTGATTTGATTTATAAGGTTTTTCTTTTTGTTTGAACTCATAATCGGTATGCTTGTTTTTTGAGAACAATCGTCTTGGCCTTTGGGGCAATTGGTGTTCGATTATTTGTTTTGGTTTGACACGATATTTGTTATGTTCTGTGGACTGACTTGTTAATGTTTTTATCATTTGCAGACGTATTTGGGAATTCAAATATTTAGATTTTACTTCAAATGTACCAAGTGCTCCGCTGAGCTCGCGATGAAGACAGACCCACAGAATTCAGACTATGTTGTTGAGGCCGGTGCTACACGAAATTTTGAACCCTGGCGCAATGAGGATGAGGTAAAAGAGAAGCAAAAGAAAAAAAGGATAATTTTCAGATTCCCTTGTACTGTGATCACTGATCAACATTGTTTAACAGCTCGATATAAATTTTGTTTTCAGGAATTAGATAAGGAGAAACAAAAAAGGGAGTCTGAAGAAATGGGAGATGCCATGAAATCCTTGGAGAACAGAACCCAGGATTCAAAAAGAGAGATGGACATCATGGCTGCTTTGGATGAGATGAAGTCCATGAAGGTAGGTGCCTGACTAGTGTATCTTGTGACAAGGTCATCAAATTTGATGCTTTGTAACTTGGATAGATGGATAGATAATGTACTGGATGTGATGTAATTATACAGTTCTGCAACTAAATTGTAGTGCATCACATTTACGTTTATGTAAATTTGTATATGTATAATATGTTATGTAGTATTCAATTCCTTTGTGTCGGCTGCAAGTCAGTATCCTCTAATACTAATACAATGTTTGTGGTTTCCAGGCCAGACATTTTAATGTGAGTGTGGATGATATGTTGGAGGCTTTGAAACACACGGCTGCGTTAAAGGTACAAATTTATGCACTTTTTATATCTAGACCAGTTTAAACCCAATAAATACACACATGTATATATATGGTATTGCTCCCTGTCCAGTGTCGTGTATTGTATGGTGTATACATGCGAATCTCTTTAGATATTATTATGCAAAACCATATAGGACCGTGGTTCCTGAATTGTGTGATGTTGTGGTTTCCATGAATTTGTTACAACATCATGTAATTCAGGGTACAATAACAATTAGCCAAAAATTTTGATAGGGAACTTCTAAAGCCCAGTATTATAATGAGTCGGTTGACTGTCTTTTTAATTAAGAAAGAAAAAAGAAGCTGCACTTAATTAAAAGTGAGTTGAATTATCTTCTTGTTCTGAACCCAGTCAATGGATAAACCAGATACCTGCTGTAATCAGCTTATTGAAATGAGATACGTCACCTAGGGAGGTGAATTTGAAGGAGTGAAGAGTTTTATTATATACATGCGCTTGTTCTTTCAGAAGCATGTTTTGTGCATTCATTTCTATCTACAACTTGCTCTGCTACCCGTTTAGTGTCAGTTTTATTATTTAGTTTTGAATGTAATAAAATATTGATGTGCTGACAGGAGAAAATGATTGAAGAGGAGGATGAAGCAGCCTTAAAATCAGTACTATTCCATGTTAGTATTGACGTACTACCTTTGTTTTATGTCCAGCTTAATTTTGTTTCTTTTTCTTTTATTTTTCCTATTCTTTATTGTGGGCTGTTTCTTTCTAATACGACCATTCTTTTTTTGTTTTCCAAAAAATTTATGCAGAACTCAAAAGATTTTGTTCGAAGGGTTCCTGATGAAGATATTGAGCCTTTAAGTGGCAACGGTGAAACATCAGATCATAATTTCAAGGTATGACTTCTTGGTTGTTGTTTAGATATTGGTGTCTTTTCAAAGAATACATAGACAATGTGTTGAACCTTTTTTTAAAGATTAATCCAGCTCTACCTTATAGGGTCTTTTATGCCCGTCCCTGGATGGAGTGCGGTTTTTGATATAGGTGTACAGCATGTGTTCTTATTTTCGTTTTACTTGAAGTGTGTATTCTTCATTCTTTACTAAATAGTCTCCGCATAGATTGTGTTGAGCATTTCAAGTGGGGTCCTATAAATAGACAATTGGATCCATGCTACCTCCACAATGCACTGCAGAGAATATGCTTCCACTATCTTCAAATCATTGTCATTCCTCCAGATTTAGCATTTCCCTTTGAACTTGGTTATTGTAGTGCAAATGGCAGAAACAATCCTCTATATAGGATCTGTTCCCTTATGTCATCAAGCTCGACGTAATTTTAGGTAGATGACTTGTAAAGATTAGTCAAGTCTTTAGCATGTGGTTGTTGATATTCCTTACAGATAATTCTACGTGCCCTTTGAGGTCTACATGGTGCTTCCACTATTTAAGTACTTTTTAGGCCTGTAATATGGTGTAGGAAAAAGGTTTAGCTTGAGAGTCTTTAGATATGACGTGATGTTAGAGGAGAAAATTTTGAACATCAATATAGGGAGGATGAAGGCTTTATAGATGAAGAGGAGAGAGAGTGGGTGGGCAAAAAACTGAAAGTTTCTTTTCATAATTGCTGGAAATTGCATAGTAACACTTACACTGGGTGGTGATCAATCACCCTGCGGAATGAAAGGAATTAATACTTTCCCCTGTGGGCTAGTAGGCCTCAACTTGCTTAAATAACACTGACCATGTTTTATGTCGCAACAGTTAATGTGATATCCATGTCTCTGTAATGGACAACAGTAAGCTTACGAATGTTTGTGTGCACATTTTACCATGCAGAGGCCAAAGCTTACCCAAGACGCACCTAGCAACCCGACAGATTGGTTGACAAAAAGCAGTATTTTTAATATAAGCAAGAGAGGTATGCTCGACACACTAAGTTTTCGTCTCTGAATTCCTTTAGAGATTCCCGTTTGGCATTATTGAGCATTTTATTATTTGGCTATTGACAGGAAATCAAAATGGCTCAGAAGCTTCAACTGATGCTAAATTCACTTTGAAGTCGTCAACTGTTAGGGTTTCTATAGTTAAGAAACCAGTTGCGGCTGAAGGTAACAAGTCAGCGGAAGGAGAAGATAAGAAACAATTGGGAGAGGAGGTTCAAAATTCTACAAAACCAGCTGATGAAAAGCAAGAGGGAGAGAATAAAACCAATGCTACAAGCAATGTATTACAGTCGTTGTGCCAAAACTATGATAGTGATGATGAATAGTTGTCGATTAGTTTTATCTACTTCTCATATTTATTCCCATAATCATGTATTGAGGAAATCTTTTCAGTATATCCTGATCTATCTTGGTTCCCATTATGTATTAAGAGAATGAATGTTGTCAAAATGAAAACATAACTTCCGAAGTGTGGGCCTAACTTTTCAAAAGGAAATATTTTAACTTTCTGGTTCCCCATAATTAGTACTAGGTATACATGGTGATTGTTGTATAGGCAGATTGAGACCCTAGTCACAGGAGAAATGCCACCCAAAGCGTGCTTTTGGCACCAGAAATTGTGAATGTTGATTAGGGAAACAATGTACCAATCAACAAGGACATGCTTAGATCTTCTTGTCTGATACAATTTGGAAGGGGAAGAAACTACACAACATAATCATGATCTGCTTGTCTGAAGCAATTTATTTATCTGAAAAGAGAAACAATAGGAATTTAGGAACTCTTGCCAGCCACTATGATTGTTCTCCTCAAATACATATTCCAAGTCATAAGGTGCAAATTGAGTGGTCTCATTCACAAACCCACTTCTGCTAACCTCCCTGATTTACAGAACTGGATATAATTATGATTTTGGCCTGATTGTGGATGCTTAAGCATCTGGCTGGGTTAGCTTTCTGCAGGATATTGTTTTTGCATAATGCGTTTATTTTCTCTTTTGTTCTGCAAAATATGATGTGATATTAGACAAAGCAACAAAATGATGAAAATACCATAGGGATGGAGAATTGCATTCAGGTAAGGCAACAACAAAATGTCCCATTTATTAGCAAAGAGTTACTAAAACCTTACTCATAAACTGAAATAAAACATGTCAAGATCATTTCAAACAATTATACAAAGCCTTAGAAAATGCTAAGAAAAACAGTGGCTAAGACGGTAGTCTGAAGTACACTGCCTACCGAATGTGAAACAGTAAGGAACTGTTTTGCCACCATCGAACACATTAACAGAAACATATTTTTGAAGTTAAGCATGGGAGCCAAGAGATGCAAAAAGGTATCTCTATCTCTGGCCCTTCTTTTTCCACAAGTCACCGAACATTTTTATCCCGGAACCCTTTCGTTTCCCACTACCAAATCCATCATCCAAATCATCAGCAGGTGACCCAACAAAGCCAGCATAGCCACCAGCTGGTGGCTCAAACACTCCACCAAAGTGCTTATCCATGGAGCCACACCTCTCAGAAATCCTCCCATTCATCTCCATACCCCCAGAAAGTACTGCTGCAGCAGCATCTGCTGCCTTTCTCCACTGCTCTGTCTGTACTCTCATCTTCTTCATCTCAGCGTCCATTGCTTCCTTTTCTCCTTCCATTGCTTGCAGCTTCTCATTCAACTGGCCTGCACTGGTCTTACTTGCTTCCAGCTCTTCTTCAAGCTGGCTTAACTTCAAGGTCATTTCCTTGTCCTTTGCCTGTGCAGATGAGAAATTTAAAGCTGCCTCATTCAGCTGATTTTTCAAACCCTCATTTTCTTGACCAAACACCTCTAGCTCCTTCGCCTTCTCTTCCAACTCAGCTCTTAGCATGTTTATCTCATCATTCTTCAAAGCCAGGTCATGTAAGGACAGTTTCTCTGGTTCCATAACTGATGGTGGTTCAGCTGATATATCAACTGGTTTGGTTTCTTCTTCCACTTCATCAGTCTCGCTAGGTTCAACCTTGGGCTCAACTGTGACGTTTTCCACGGGGACTTCGAAAACATCAGTTTCCCTTTGGCAGTCATCTGGAACTTCCTCAGAGATACAACTGTCTGTTTTGTTAGAATCTTGAATCTCCAATGAGGGATGCGTTTCATGGATTTTCACTGGCTCTAAAGTCACAACTGGTTTCTTAGTTTTCTTTTCCAGTTTCTCTTGGGCTTCTTTCTTTGCAGCCTCAGCTGAAGCCAACTGCTCTTTCAAAATCCTTAGCTCGTCTTGTGCTTGCCCAAGTTGCGATTCTAAATCAGCAAGGCGGGTTCCAAGCTTCTTTTGATTTAGTGGATCAGATTGTGTACCTCTTGGGGAGCGACGATCTCCTAGCTTTGGACTTCGGTCAGTGATTGGTCGATGATGGAGTGGATCTGAATCAGAGCTTGAAGTCCTGAGCTGATGTGCTCCTCGAGGAGACGGCCTCTGAACCATTTCGGAGCCCCTATTCCTCAAAAGCAATGATAAGAAATTTCCATCAGAATTCCATTTGCATATATACTCACATATCTCTCAGGGTAAAGCTGAAGACATGTAATATGAAGCATTAGAGTTCAAAAAAGAACTTTCTATTAGGATAATACACAGTTCTGATCACTGTATTTAGGCCCGAAAACAGATTTGGTCACCCTTGCAGCTGTAATTATAGCATGCACATAAACACGTCTTCACAGCAGCAGGACACAGAAATCAAACCCAGATAAAAGTTTTTATGATAAAGAGCATCCTCTAACCTTGATCGCGGCATTTGTTGAGCTTAGAAGATTGGCTGAAGAAAAGAGACGAGGACTTGCAAGTTGAAAGCTTGTGTTCTGCACAATTTTAGTTGTGATCATAAGAAAGAAATAAGCAGTCTGAATAAAACACATAACTAGGATATCAGCATAATAATGGTAGTTGAAAATGCTGTTCTATGTATTATCGAATAAAAATTTCATGCTTCTTTTAACTCACATTCTACCTTAACCTACTTTGATGCAAAATACAAGGTGGGAAAAATGATCCTGGAGCAACTAATATTTTGATGCAATAGAAGTTCCAAAATAATAATCATATTCTACTTCCTCTGAGGATCATTCTTCTAACAGAAGCATGCCTAAACTTACTAGGGCAATGGCATTCAAATATCCCTGCTAAGCACAAAGCCACTACTGCTCACAAATGAGAACCTGTATAAACTATAAAGGGTAAATTGACCCATCTGGAAAAAAGATGTGGTTACTCAATTCAAGGCATATTTTCACTTTTTGCAAAACCCTATTTCCCTCATAGACTGCATCTCCCCCAGTATGCTTCTGGGACAGTGCAAAAGCATTCTCAAACATCTCTCTTCCCCACCCACCATGTATCTTATTATACATTACCACATTATCAAATGCAGGGCATGCTTTTCAACCTAAAAGCTCAGAGTATTTCTTGGGCTTGAAATTTGGCAGGGGGGCACTCTCGTCATTTGGCATTTTTGCTCCAAAATTGCATCCACTTTTCTTTTGTTCCGCTGACAAGCTCATGCAATGTGCTGGAAGGCTGAAAAGTGGATACTTTTATAAAAATCATGTGACAATCGCTTTGTGTCCTATGATGTCTGTTATCATTAAGCTCATGTAATTTTCTGTATTTTTTTTCCTTGGAGAGTCTAAATGGAAGTAAAAGTCTCAATAAAATGTACCTCATGTATCCAAAGTAAGATAATAAAAAATTCAAGACTCAGATCCTTGAACAATATCAGTCCAAAACAAAAGCATCCGTGAACAATATCAGTCTCCAAACAAAAGGATCCTTGAACAATAAACCCCCTCTCTATCTCTGTGAGTGTGTGTCTATGACTGTTTCTGGTTGTGAAGAAAGAGAAAAGGGAAAGAAAGTTTTGAGTATTTGGATCTCAACACTCATGGTGAGGAGTTTTTGGTAGCCACTAGTCACTAGATATCAACTTTTACTTCTCTGCCTCTCTTTCTTACCATCAAAGGACATGATTAACAGTTAAACACCCAACTGGCAGAAAATGTGACAATAAAAGGTAAGAAAACAGCACAAAAATGAAAATCCAAAAGCAGTGGAAACAGTAGAAATAGGTTCTCACCTCGCCGCGAAGTAATATCAGGGTCTAAACTAACACTCTGTTTTGTGATCTGAGTGGCATCGGAACCGGAAGAACTCCATGAAAGACCTCTCCTTGTGAATATGTAATATGCAATGGGGATTAAAGAGAACAACCCATTTGCTAGAGAGTGGTAAAGGATGGTTTTTTGAGCTCCACAGGTTGGGTTGGTGTTAAAAGCTGGCAGCTTTTTTTTGAAACATTCTGACTAGGCGGTAAAAACACTGCCCAGAAGAGCTATCTACCTAGAAAGAGAGTGTCTGAAAATGAAGACAGCCTAGATAGAGAAACAAGTTTGAATTAAAGGAAGCGAGAGAGAGAGAGAGAGAGAGAGAGTGGATTTCAGCTTTTCAAGAAGGTGCAAGAAGAAGAGGACAAAAGAGTAATTTTAAAGAAAGGACTAATAATTCAATATAAGGATCTTGGGAAAATCCAACCTGTATAAATCTTGCTATCGTAAACTCTTGTCTTTTTGTCTCTTTTCGAAGTTCAAACCTTTTTTAAACTCTCTCAACTTTTTCCTTTTGTTTCTTTAATGGCACTGCGTGCATTTTGACCATATAAATATGTGCATTTTGACAATGCGTGCATGTATAGAAGGAAATGGCTGTTTAGGGGCAGTGCATGCAAATAAATAGACATCTTGGAATCAACTCCTCTGTCCTTGTTCATTCCAAGTTTTGTAATCCAAACTTTAAAGATGACCCAAAAAATAAACCAAACTTCATACAAGAGTATTGAAGGAGAGCGATCGCATCCTCCGGTACTTGGATAAACGCTTTTAATCACTTCAGTTGTAAAACTCTTACAAACTTACAGCTTAGCTTTTATTCAATGCAGTTTAATTAACAACACCCTTCTTTTATTTTTCTTTCTTTTTGATAATCTTAACAGCACACGGGTGTATAGTATTATTATTGTTAAGCTATCACTGTAATTGACCCCACTTGATCTCCAAGACATAATCATGGTGTTTAACAAAAAGATATAATCATGGTAATATGATTTAGTGGTTGATTGATACTAATGAACTTGTGTTCACTATTTGCAATAATGCAATGGGGTCACATTATTATTGCTCCAATGTGGCCACGTCGAACCAACCCCCGCTCAAAGCCTGAATGTTGCCTATATTTCATTTGTTGGGAGTTTAATGTGCCATGTGAGCAAACGCACTTTATATGGAAGCAATTGCTTCTCTCTGAGGTAATTATCTATACAGCACATAAAATTTGGTACTATTTCACAAGAATCAAAATCTGTTGGTTTTAACTTAGCTTCTACGCCAAAGCCTCTCATAGGAGAAAAAAATTCATGCAATGGGAATAGCACTTTTTACTATTGCCGGTAATGACACGTGAGATAACTTTTTCATGTGTCATTATATTATTGGTCGGAAATAGCAAAATAATGTTATCCCTGTTACAAGTAAGTTTTTTATGGTCACGTAGACTCTCCAAGTACTCTAAAGTCTAAACTGAACCACACCCTTAAATTCATGCAGAGGACAGTCTTAAATTAAATCAAGTTTTTTTTAATTAAAGACACTTGAAGTTGAAGATGACATCTCTAAAGAAAATAAAGAGGTGGTAGCTCTTAGTCACTCATAAGTGATGAGTCAAACCCAAGACCTATTAACATATGTAAAAACAATATTGAGAGAGGTGAATCAAATAGAGGATTTAGGGTAGAACGGAACTACGAAAGGGCTCGCTCACCGGTTCAAATGTTTTCGTTACCAGTGATGAAGCCATTGTTTGGTCTGAAGTCAAATTTGGCTTAATTCCAAATGAAAAAAAAATACCCAAGAGTACTGGTCCCTTTTGTCTGTCTATAAAATAAGAGCATCTGTGCTAATAATGTAGCTGAACAGTGAGGAATTAGGTCACCATGTGGTCCTCACTCAAATTGCAAGCTAGAAAAACAAAGCTTGTGGGCAATCAAAGAAAAGGAGTAGCTGAGTTTTGTTATGTTCATAGCAAAGAGATGGACAAAATGCATGTGAAACTTAAATGTTTATGATATCTCTTCACCTACTCTGAGGCCCAATCTCATAAATCCAGCACCTCCCCCACATTATTAGATTTGGGGCCATGCAAATCCCCCATTTTTGAATTGCTTTGCTGATGACGGCACCCACCACCGCTACAAGAGTCAAAATTCTGCAAGGATGTCTTTTGCAATCATCAAAGACCCACTCAACAAACATTATTTGAATTTTGAACCCAAATTGATGTAAGGCAATGTGGATGATCAAGTGATAAGTTTACATTACTTCAGCTTCCCTCTAAACCATGGAGTAATCTTCCAATACTACATTTAAAAAATTCTTTTTAATCTCTACACGTAGGTTTCGAATACCTCTATACAGAAGGTTATAACAGTTCATGGGTGGGAGTTGCCTCCCTTGCCCCTACAAAACCGACTTGTAAAGAAAGGGTACCGTCTCAAGATATGTTACTTTTCAAATGTGACATGGGAAAGATGGCGAATTTTTAGATCAAATTGACATGGGAAAGATATGTTATACAACCTGCACTTCAACTTCACAGGTCGGGGAAAAAGTACAAATAAAATAACCAGGCTCAGAATCAAATTCTTTATACAATTCTCATTTCATGTTTCTTCAACTGTATCTTCAGGCATGCTCTTCTCCAATCTATGGGGAGCAACCAGCGGATAACTCCATTTCACTGTTGATATTGTAACAATGAGGCATACATTTTCTTAGAAGTAAAAGGAAAACGAAATCAATCCTTGGGACTCGCTAATCAAGTTGACCATATATAGGAGTGGAAGGGTGGAAATCAGTAGGAAATAGCAAAACCAGTAGCCTTTCATTTCATTAGAATAATAATCTGTTTTTCCTTTCACATCTATAATAGAGACAGAGATGGAGTGAGAGTGAGGGAGAATCATCACTACCTTGGCCTTTCTACTAGTCACTTGCATTCTTTCTTTCTTCTTTTTTTTCTCGGGTGCAGTTGCCGTGCTCGAAGGCTCGGCTAGTGAACTGCCAAGGCCACACACCATATCTGTTTCAGGATTAACTATCACTAGTATTATGACTTAAACTACTGCCATGGAACTCCAGGTCCACTGGCCACAGCTCTAGCCTCAGCCAGAGAAACGGCCATGGCCAGCATCATCTGCTCCTCAAAACTCTCAGGAACAATAGGGTCTGGGACATTTTGAAGATCGCCCTCAATCTCATTTCCTGTTGGCGGCGCAGATGTACTGCCGGCATCTTCTGTTGTGTCAGAGCTTGCATAACTCGTCCGTGTTGTGTCGGCATTCCATTCTCTGTCATCCTGTGTCAAAGGCATCCCATGATTGATAGACATTTCAGAAGAGCTCACTGCAGCTGAATAATTTTCAGATTCCCTGTCCACCCTGTTGTAAAACCTGCTAGTGCCTGGAACCATACTGAACCCTGGCACATTACCACCAGGATTAGTAGATGATTCTCCACTTGTTTGCTGTCGTTCTGCAAGAGCAGCTATTGCGCAAGCAAGACCCCCGGATGGTGATGATGAACCGGAAACTGAAACCATAGCTGGTGAGACATAGCTTTGTCTTGTGACAAATTGTTCAGATGGAGCAACATCCCCATAAGATGGAGACTTGTGTCTCCCATTCTCCTGAAAATATAATTTTTTTTGCAATTCAGAAAAGTTGAAGACTTCACATCATATCTTCCAACAGAAAACTAGATAGAAATACAGATTCACTTCAATAATAACCTGAATAGGAAAGCAGTAGACATAATCATATAACTTCCACAAATTGGAAATGTGTGTATGGGCGTGCAGTCCTGATGGGGAAGGAGAGATTTTGTGCATACCAGCAAATATATCAACCAAAACAAAATAAAAACACAAAACTCATAGCAATAGAAAATTAGTAAAAGACAACAATGTATAATGGAGCTCCAAATCACCATTTTACAACACAAGAAGGATAACACTGCAGAACCTTGCTTTGAAGCACATCTTCCTACATCTACGCCGATGCTGGTCATCAAGACTATACAGGAAATACTTTGCATTGTTCTATCACTTTGAGAGATATCTTATAACAAATAATGTACATCATCTAACAAATATCTGCTATAAATCTCCACCTAAGAACTATTAGTATTTATCCCTGTTCTTACTCTCTGATGGACTGCTATTGGATCGAATAATGACAAAGAAAAGAATGTTCAATGGATTGAATAAGACATTGTGAAGAAAAAGGATGGTGTTTCCCAAAGAAAAGAATGTCATTAGATTCATGCAACAAGAGAATCGTTTAGTTTGCTTCGTAAGATAGAGATCTGCATTGCAGAAAAATTGTTTGAAGCATTAACACACAGATTCTGAAAAATCAGAAGTGAAGTCCAAATGACAAGTCCCCATAATCATGCCAGCACCATTTTGTCAAACGAAAACAAGTGCTCAAGCTAAATGGCTCAATTATTGTAGTTCAGTATGACACCTGTAGAAATATGGCTAGGATAATAGGAAAGACAAGACAAAATCTACGAGTAACATTGAATATGATCAGACGCATAAGGAAGGACTTGTGTGGCCACTGAGTGGCAGCTGCTGCCTTATAAAATATTAGTTGACATATAACTAAAACCGGACCTAGTCATGAGAATTTAATAGAATATAATTTTCCCATTACTGATTCTATGAATGTTGTTTAATGAGTTTGGAGCTGGCATCCAAGTAAAAGAAGACAAGAAGCTGTAAGGACGGCAGTACATAGAATAACATCATTACCTTCCCCCTCTGACAAAAGGCATCAAATCTCAAAGTTGACTTTGTCAGAGATGACCAATTAGTAAACCAACTACCGTGATTCATAGTGCACCAGTGGTTAAAAGTACCACTAAGTTCTTTTGTGATTCACTAAGAACACAATGCAAAGGGAAAATTTTAGAAACTAATAAATTTATAGAAAAAACCAAAAACAACTAGTATGCAATCAACTAACTTCAGTAACAGGAAACTTTGTTTAATGTTTACAATGAAATAAGAGAGAATTCAAATTGCTCACAACTGCTCATCTAAACTCAAGATACAACAAGGATGATTAAATCTAAAGCTCAGATGTTGTGTTATCTGCATAAGGAGATATTCTACTCAAATAGTTTGATAGAGGGAGCTTTCACTCAAATGGTTTGATATAGGGAGCTTTCACTCAAATAGTTTAAATATCTTTCATATAATGATGTCAAAAGTACAAGTTCTAATGCTCACTATTGCAAATTGAGCGCTTCAGCCTCAAGATTATACAGTTCACCACTCTCTGTGGCACATAAATCATCTGAACATCCTCGCCTTCATTTCAATGTTGGGTGCCAATCAAACCAATCATTACTTACTAGGCGCCAATTAAGAGTACTCACTAAAAATATGACCTTGAAAGAAACACTTCAACAACCACATACTAGAGTTCAATGTAAAAACTAAGAAAAGAAAAAAGAAATCATCATATAATATTGGTTTCACTTTGAACGGCTATTACACATGGTTTTCATACAGTTTTGTAGCTAAGTTTATTTCAAACAGAATCCATAACTTCTACAAATTTACAACTTTTACCTGAATAGAAAGCCAAATTGCTTCCATGACCATTATATCCTCAAGATCCAGATCGAATTCATCCTCCCTGCAGTTTCGGAGTTTAAACTAGAAATTAAAAACAGGGTTGGAAAAAGTTGTTTCATACCATGTATGAAACATATCAAGTACTAGTAATCCTATTCTGACCTATTTTTTTATTAGTGTCCTATACAAGTTGTCATGTATCTCGTAAAATAAATGCTCAAGATTAAGACCCTTTTATCTGTAAAGTTCTAATCTAAATCCATCACTCTTACACCCCCATCAACAGAAAACAACATGCTAACACAACCAAGAAAAAAGAATCCTTTAATCGTGCAACAGTTCAAGAAAAACCTTATCATAAACAAAATAATTATTAAACAAACATTATTTTTCACAATACCAATCAAAATAAGGTTATATGTATTTGACATTAGCCAGACATGTTTATTCCTCGTGTTGACAGGCCATTTCTGAATTTGTATAGTAATGGTCGAACTTAACCAGATTACTTTGTGTCAGGTTTGTGCCATGTTGGAATTTCCAGCCCTTGTTAGTTAGGATGACATCTTGAAAATATTATCCCATTTTCAGTGTTTCCCTAAACTGAAATCATAAATCTAATTGAGTGGATGCTTGATGCATGCTAGACTCAGACTCTTCAGTAGCAACTATGACATGCAATTATCACAAACACATGTTATGCGTACACATCTGCTTGAGCAAGCAACAAAGCATATGCATCCAGGACACAAAATCAGATTCTATCATTCTAAGACCAAACTACAATTCCAAACAGCTTCACAATTATCTACTATTACATCACATCTCTAACAAGCACAAATAACCCATACAAGTAACCCTTAGAACAGAACATCTGCTACTTATAATTTAAAAAAAAAATCTCACATTTATCATTTGAAAAGCCAGATAACTCTGGTGAAAACTCTTTACTTTTTCAAATACATTTAGACTGGTTAGATACTGACAGGCACAAAGGTGCATATATAATGGTTGTTGACGTGAGAAACCAGAGCAACCTGTTCACTCGTACCCAAGCTAGGATCTCAGTGGTAAAAGTTCCAGGAACATTTGGAAAGCAATTCTCAATCAGATAATTAGCTGCAGTTTTAGATGTCAATTTTTCCTCATTTTTTGTTTTCTTTTCTAAATGCATTCATGTATTTTTCTAATCTATAAACTAGGACAAGATAACACAAGAAAATAAAAATCTCTCAAACCCCAATTTCTTACATGGTTAAAGACACACACACACCAAGAAAAGGAAAATACTGTATACCTGTACAGTGGAGGTTGCCTAAACATTGAGACAGCGCATGAATCTTGAGAAGAAGCAATTTCCTCTCCTTCTGCTGGAGAAGCGGAAGACGGAACTGCGAGAATTTTTTTTTCTCATCACCTAAATAAATAAATACTTGTACAATAGAAGAAACCACAATATTAGTTAAATTTTACCAGTAACGCTGTATTCATCACCCACTGGTGCCATGTTTCTGCTTGAAGAGCTTAGTAGTTGTCTTATCTGCATTCTTTCTTCTTCATCCTGAATTTCTTGCTGTCGCATTCTAATTTTCGCTTCTATGACTCGCTGTTCTTCCTGCAGAGTTTCCAGAAATGCAAATAATGTCCAAGATCCATCACGTAGCCAAAATCAGTAGAACAATTCCACAATTTATTAAAAAATACATAAATTTTATTGTGACAGTATGATTCTTACAATTTGCTCCAGGCCCTTTTCTTCCTTTGATTTCACACCACGGAACTCCACAGCATAATTAGACGTTTTACAAAAAGGGCACCTAATTATGTTAAGTGAAACAAGTACATAGAGCAAAAGGCAATGAATAGAAAATGACGGTTTCCAAATGTTCAATTTTGAAGTGCACTTCCGAAATTGAAGGCATAACATCGGTAACAAAGGATACTGCGTAGGACGAGTTGAATTGGGAACTTTCATCTGCAGAAAACACTCTGGGAAAAATGAAGACTAATCAATCTCATGCAAATATTTATAGCTGAAGTATCAAGTGTAAAAAAATTTAAAATAATAACCTGTACAAATGCCTTTCATGCAACATCTTGATCTATTAAGACTTGGGTAATACTGAAACAAGACAAGAAAAAGATGTAATAGGATGGCAAGAAGTCTTACAGAGCACAAATAATTACAAGTTAAATTTCAATTTAACTATTTCATACATTCAAATTCAATGAGTTCTTCCCTGGATGGTGTCTAAGATGAAATTTATAAATAATTTAAAAAATGAGAAATTTCTCAATTGCCCAAGTACCAGAAAATTAGTCAAAGAAAACCTCTTGAAAAAAATATCAACTTAGTTCTGTATGGTTCAAAAAACAAAAAAAATAGAAGGGAAATTTGGATTGTCGCTTAAGCTTCTGTATTCTAACAATATTAAAATGAGTTAGACCATCCAGCATTGTGACTGCACTAAATATAAGGTAATGTAATTTCTTACAGCTGCTTTTCTTCAATTTAAAAGAAAGCAAAATGCAGACGAGAAATAGTATCAAAAAAGAAAAGTATAAGAAAACTAAAATGAGTCACAATAAAAGTCAAACCAGAAAGCAAATTGGACATTCTTCAAGATCGCAAGTGCATTCTTCATCTCCAGGAAAGCAAGGAGCAAGCTTGGATTCCAGTATGAGCTTCTTGAGCTTCTTATGATCCACATCTTTGTGGTGGTAAAGCCCCTGAGGCCTTGTGTACTTCTCATCAATCACCTGTCTCCTTCTTCCAAGCTTATTACCCATCCAATATGGTTCACTTCTTCTCGCTTATTCTTCAATTTATGAAAACAAATCAACGATAATAACAAGAATGACAAACCAATTTCTCACAGTCACCAATTTCTTTGAACAACAAAAGCATTGCTACGCACAAAATTTTACTTTGGAACACTATACCAAGAAGCTAGAATATGATCTTAGCTCTTATATTACAACACAATTGTCAAAGCAGCAAAGTGCTTTCAATTGAATAGTCGATATTTGCAGCCAAAAGACATCCTCTTAATCCTGCAGTTGATTAAAACAAAAGCAACAACCTCAATATAAGTCCTTTACAAGACAAGAAAAGAATACCTCACTTTCTAAGAATCAATTCAATTGACCTTACATTGGTGCCAAAAATATTGCCGCAATCATAATAAAATGAACACTCAAAAGAAGAATTTTAACATAAAACTTCAAGCCATCCTAGTGTTTTTCTTCACGAACAAAGAAGCAAAGAAGCAAAGAAGCAAAGAATAAAGCAAGCACAAGGACTTGGAACCACATTTTCCAGTTTGGCACAATTACAAACATACACTGTACCACAAAGGCAAGAACCCTAACAATCCTTTAGTATACCAGAACGCCATCATCTTTACTACAGAACTCTTAAGCCCGTAGTCAATTGCGGCAATTCCTCTAAAAACATGCCAGAAGTGTAAAACCGAAAGCAAAAGCAGAGAATCCGAACACAAAGCCAGGAATTTCATTTGAAGAAAAATCAAAGCTTCAACAAACGAAGAAAACGAAGCAGAACTCCACTGAAAACGCCATGTTTTTAGGAGCAACGTGAAGAACCCTAATTTAAGCGGCGGTAAATACTCCCTGAGTTTTCAATTGCCAACAATCTGCTTCCGAAACACAACTCGGCAGCAGCAAAAACACAAACGAAAAGCACAAAAATCGAACGAAAACCCCAAATTCGCTTCAAAATTCAATTTTCCGCTTCAGAATTTCGCAAAATAATGAACAAAAACACAGATATGAATTAACAACAGTTCAGTACGACACATAGTTTGCATTAAGCTCAAATTCAAAAGCCTAACAATTAGCAATCAGAAACTGAAAAACGAACCTTCAAATTATTGAAAGTATAGAAGAACACTTCGTCGATTTCACAGAGAGAGAGAGAGAGAGAGAGAGAGAGAGTCTCTCTGGGGATGAAAATGAAGTCGGAGAGTGACTTGTTAACGAGAAGAGGAACACGATTAGAACTTTCTCCGAGACGCAGAAAATTTCCTCTTTTGCTTTTTGTATTTTTTTCTCTATTTAAAAATATTTTAATTCGTTTTTTTAAAACTATTTATTTTCTCGTTAGTGTTTGTTTTCTTTCGGCCTCCGTGGTTTATCCGACGGAAATTTTTATACATAGAGAGAGAGAGGGATTAGTGTGTAGGCAAAGGACGGTGGAGTAGTAGGCGAGAAAAGAATATGTAAAAGGATAGGGGGCCTAAAGCAGCAGAACAGACGCTTCTGTTTCTCTTCCACGCGCCTCTTTTCCCGCGTGTCCCTCACTCCCACTTTTTTTTCTTTGTTCTGACTTCCAAATAAAAAAACAAAAAACAAAAAACAAGATGATTGTTGATCTTTGGTCTCTAGCACCACTTGCATTTTGTTTGACCAGATTATCATTAGGCTTTATTTTATTATATGGATGAACTTTAGCATATATATGGTGATATTTTTATTTTTTAAAATTAAATTTTTTTTGTTTATCTCGTAGTTTTAAAATTAAAAAAATGAAACATAACGTGTTTGTGCCACATACAGGCTAAACAATTTATGTATAATTCCAAGGCAAGGCAAGGCAAACCTATAATAAACATATATTGTTGAATTAATCAAACAATATATATATATATATATATATATATATTAACATCAATTTATATATGGATAATGAATGGTGAGTGGCTTGAACGCTCCATGAGATTCAAGTAGGAATCTTAGAGCTTACATATTTCTATAAAGCAAAATGTATTGGCCCCCATGAAATGGTTTGCTTTTTGTCGAGACCCATATGATTTAGACCACGATCTCACGCCATTGAATCAGCTGACCAAAATCCATATTTTTGACCCGTATCTTAACCCAATGTTTTTGCACTATATAAATAAATATAAATGGTGCAAATGGGTTGCGCACCCAAACCAAATGCCCCTAAAATAAATCCACAAACTCACAAAGGTTTTTATTTGGGCTAATCCATTTTTAAAATCTAATTAAATGGGTTGGATTGGGTGATGTTGGGTTATCTGAATTGGTTATGGAGGTTGCAACAATGTCTTGCTCTTATTTTGTCCTATTTGCGCAGTGTGAGAAAACCAACCTAACCTGTTTGTAACTTCCGATG